GAAGCGGCCGCCGGTTCTGCGCCCTCGTGTTTGCCTTGGGGGAGAATAAACCGCCGGGATCTGCGGGCCCCACGGCGCCCCGCAGCGCGGTTGTTAAGCGGCTGGTTTCAATCCCGAGCATGCAGGGAACGAGGACTTGGCCGCCCAGCAGGTGTGAGTTCAGCGTGCTGTAGCTCCTGCGTTGGTGCACTCTGCGCTTAGTGTGAAGGAAATTGGCTTTCAGGCTTTTTGTCACTTAAAAACATAGTTAGGGAAGTTCTAAAGCAACATGCTAAGAGATGTTTGCATTTTAACAGTTTTCAAGAAAGAATAAGTAACTAACTCAAAATGTCTCATTTTGAAGTATTATCATGTTGCAATGAACAGTATTAGGGAGGATTTGCAGCCTGTACAGTGCAATAGCTACCAAATACACTCACCAGGAGATCAAAAGCAGCAGTGCAGAGACTAGCAGCAGTGCAGAGGCTATTCTGCTCTTTTGGAAAGCAGCCCCGTGAAAAATCTTTTCAGGATCAAATTTTGATGAGAAGCAACAAATAGGTAAACACTGGAAGCTTCTATCAGTGTTTTTTTCTTCCATATGATTGTCGCACATTTATCTGATAATAAACTTCCTATATACAGTCATTGTATTAACAATTTTGCCAATGTTGTTTCACTTTTTAATACACAATATATTCCATGTTTGCTCCATGATGTTTTATTTTGTCCCTCCACGTTTCCATGTCTTCATTCTTTGAGTCTCTTTGGATTCCTTCTCCACTCCCTGGATTTCTGTTATCATAGTCTGACTTAAGTTAGCTGAATTAGCAATACTGTTCTTTCAAAAGTTATCCGCAAGAGAACACAGTGGCAGGATTTAGTTGTACAGGTTCCTTGATTAACACTGATTCTATTTCACTTTTTTCGCTATCGCCTCTTCCCTTGAGATCGTAAATTTTAATTACCTTATTCAAGTGCTAGGAAGGAGACAGATCCCACCTTCCAAAAACACCTTCTCCTCGTTTTCCTAGCACTTTTTAAATAAAAAATGATCAGTCTAGAATGGGAGCTTTGGATAGAGCTGGATGGTGTTTTAGCATATTGATATGCTAATTACAGTTGTTATTT